CAATAAATTATAAGGAAAACTAATGAAAATGACTTGAAGACTTTGAGTTTTAACGATAAGAACAAAATAAAGGGTAAAGTGAATAGTAACATGATTGACTTTTTAGTGTAAAAATATGATTTTTCGTTAAAATGAACAGTACCAGAAGTTTTTCGTTAAAGTTCCTTAAATGATATGCCCCATTATACATTTTTATTAAAAGTAAAAGTAAATGTAAGAAATTGAGTCTTCCTTATTAAATCACTGGTCAATTCCTTAAACCATTCTTCTCATTTTTCAGTGTAATTTGAGATAGTAATATTGTTTGTAATAATAAAAAAATAAGTAAAGTGATTAGCCGAGGTTAAACTCATTTTCTTTTCCTAGTGTAAATAATACCATCTGTCAAAAAAAAAATAAAAGTAAAAGTATTTTTTTTCCGATGGTTATTTTAATTAAATTTATTTAATTATTTTAGTGTTATGGGATAAATCAAGATTATATCGTAAACTTACCAATTAATCTGAGAACTAATAATTTTATATACAACAATATTTCACCCTAAAAACTAAACATTAAAACATATCAAATTTGCTATTAACTGGTTTTGAACCCATGAACGGAGGGAGGTAAGGCCCAGTGGGGGCACATGCCCCCTCTCATTCCTTTTTTTTTTTTTTTAATTACAAATTATTCAATTAATCATTCCCATTTTTTTTGCTTTGCAGATTATTCAATTAATCATATTAGAATAGTGAAAATCCTCTTTTAGTTTTTTAATGCGCATCCATCCTGTATATTTTTCTCACGCATTAATGTCTAAACCTTGTTGAGTTGCATGTATTTGGTTAATTAGTACAAATGAGCATTATATTGTCAACAATTAAAGACAAAATTAGACAATAGAGTAATAAGATTAGGCATTTTGAAATTAATTTTTTCAGCATTTATAAAAGAACTAGCTTTATTTGTCCAAAAAGGGAGCTCAAATTTTTTAAGGTGCCCCCTCTTAGTTAAATTTCTAGCTTCGTCCCTGTTTGAACCTAAGATATCTCAAATTACAAGTGAAAAGAAATATTACTATGTTGTAGCACTAGTGGCATAAACATAAGAAAGTAAAATGATATATATTTTATCAGGTCATATTTAGATAACTAAACGTCTTTCGATTTTGTAAGATGATATTTTAGTAATAACCTAAAAGATGTTTGGTTCAAGTTATTAAAAATATTAAAGTGCGAGCCTAGACGAGTAGATTGGGATAATAAAAATTTATATTTTAAAGTTTTGATCCAATAGATAATGTCACGTTGAAGTCTTTTTCAACATAACATTATGTTATTAAATCGGAATGATACTATACTCGAACTCTTAGTCTCACCCTCACTTGTATAGTGTATTGTTTTAGTTGTTAAATACGTACCTTCATACATCCAATTAATTCATTAACAAAAAAAAAAAATTACTCTTATCACATTTGTACTAATAGAGATGGGGTTCCCCACTTGTATTTGTAGGCCCTACCGGTATTAGAGATGGTACAAATGTGATATGAATATTGTGATACGTGTAAATATTTGCGAACAATTTAAATTCTTTTTTATATGAGAATCCCTCACAGATCATAAATATATGGAAACTGCAAAAGTAATGAAAAGTTTTATACGTTTACACATAAAATTTCCCTTTACATGTCTTCTTGAAATTGCTCCAGATTTGGTTAACATAAAGATAAACAACTTTTTTTATAACGCACCATGCATGTATCATTATAAAATCCATACCACAATCTGGATTTTCAACATTCAATCTTCTCTCATCGCAATGACAGGAAATAAGAACCCTAATAACATCAAGACCACATCCTACTACAATTTCTTGCCAACGAAAGCTGAAGAGAATGAGGCAAGGGCCAACAATCGCGAGGATCAAGTAAGAAGAACTCGTGTGAAAATCAGAGAGCTTTCACCGCAGCCAATAATATTATAATCAAGCGATCCACATAACCAAAGAACGGCATCACTAACAATTGACCTTCCTTCTTAGAAGTTGAAGAGTATGAGCGTTGGTCTTTTCCATGTTCAGCTAGTTATTTTTAGTTTTATAGAATTTGAGTTTCATGGATATTGGAATGTTTTCTGTTATATGAATAAAAGCACTATTTTATGTTATGTGTTTATATTTAATTAATGAAACTTGGCAATAATTATCAATAAAAAGAAGAGACTTATTATTGTCACTCTTAAAAAAAAAGGTAAATTATCAATTTAGTTTCTGAATAATCACTTAAGTGAAAATTAAGTCCCTAAGCTATTTTTTTTCTTCAGAAAAATCAGTCCTTCAATTATAAAAATCGGCTAATTACATCACTAATATTATATTCAATTTTCCGTTAATTTGAGTCACATTACTTGCATGTGATATGTGACATCCCACATCGCCCAAGGGAGTGATCCTTAAATGTATATTCTCATCTCTACCTAGCATGAGGCCTTTTGGGAGCTCACTAGCTTCGGGTTCCGTAGGAACTCCGAAGTTAAGCGAGAAGGGGGCTAGAGCAATCCCATGATGGGTGACCCACTGGGAAGTTGCTCGTGAGTTCCCAAAAACAAAACCGTGAGGGCGTGGTCGGGGCCCAAAGCGGACAATATCGTGCTACGGTGGTGGAGCGGGCCCGGGAAGTGGTGCCGCCCGGGCCGGGATGTGACAATTTGGTATCAGATCCTAACCCTGGCTGTGGTGTGCCGACGAGGACGTCGGGCCCCTAAGTGGGGTGGATTGTGACATCCCACATCGCCCAAGGGAGTGATCCTTAAATGTATATTCTCATCTCTACCTAGCACGAGGCCTTTTGGGAGCTCACTAGCTTCGGGTTCCGTAGGAACTCCGAAGTTAAGCGAGAAGGGGGCTAGAGCAATCCCATGATGGGTGACCCACTGGGAAGTTGCTCGTGAGTTCCCAAAAACAAAACCGTGAGGGCGTGGTCGGGGCCCAAAGCGGACAATATCGTGCTACGGTGGTGGAGCGGGCCCGGGAAGTGGTGCCGCCCGGGCCGGGATGTGACATGATACACATTGGAAAGTAGATTGATAATTTTTATTAAAAAAATAGTGTATGGAGTTAATTTTGGAGGGTAAATTAGATGTTAGATTCGCAACATATATGAAATGTTATGAGTTTATATGCGAGAAAATGACGGTACACTTAAAATTTATCAAGTGACTTCAGTTGGATAAATTAACACTTCACCTTACAGAAAATTATCATATATGCTTATTACTTAATGTGAGGAGTGCTAGTTGACATTATAATTTCTTGGTATTCGAATCTCTTCGAATTCTTAATAAGAGGAGTGCAATTTCACTATTTTGAGTTGCCATAACACCACCCAAAAAGAATTATCTTATATACAGATACACTAATTACTTAAATAAATTTTTGGGAGAAATTGTTTGTATTATGGTGTGTTCTTTTTCTTTCCTAAGTCCTGGAAGATGTTTGACGAGTTATTTGTAACTTAATTGGTCATGGACATCAAGTTATGAGCAGGTAGGGGCCAACAATAGCAAACATCATGTTTTGATCCAATATACAAAGTCATGTTGAAGTGTCTTTCAACATGACATTGTACTATAAATTGAGATGTTATTATAGCAGTGAATTTGTTCTATATTGGCAGCATTCCTTGAGCCCAACGAAAGCCATCCGAACTCTTAGTCTCATCCTCACTTGTATAGTGTATTGTTTTAATTGTTAAATATGTACCGAGTAATGCTATTTTTATCATCTAAATATACAATTTCGTCACTTAGTACTTTGGTCTAGTGACAATCCTCTTCACTTGTAAGTGATAGTTTTTAGGTTCGATTTTCGCCAAATGCAAATTTGAACCACATTATTGCTAGTTCATTATGAGGCTAAGCTCACCCCTATGTCTTAATAGTTTTTTTTTTGGAAGCTGATGAAACCTTATTGTTCACGTTTACTATCCTTGCCATTGCCACCTTTTCCCTCTCATCTCTCCACCGTCATCTTGCTCTTCCGGCAACTGATGGTGCCCCTTCCCTTCCACCGGCAATTGATGGTGATTATTCTTTTTTGTCTCTAAATTCAAGTTTTCAATTGCAAAGCGTTTAATTACGCCTTCTAGCCAAATTTTGGATTTCTTTGCGTTTTTAATCTCATCGGCATTGAAGATACATAGGAAAAAAAAAATACGGGAATTGTTATTGACACTCAAAAAATCTCATTCTACACTCCTCGCAAGTGTATTTTTCTTTCTAAATATATAAAGTTTATAGTGTAGAATGTGAAATTTGGAGTGCCAATAACAATTCCCAAAAATATTGTATACAACATTTCTCTGCTACTTCTGGAATTTTACTAAAGGAAGAAGATTGATTACAAATACCAATCATAGACAACAACTCTTTTTTTCAATCCTTCGTGGAATTGTAGTTTGTAACATTTTCTAATCCTCAAGGAATTAATTTTTTTATAATTCTCAAGGAATGAAAATTTTCCTGACATATTGCAAAAGCTTTTGGCTTGGACTTTCAGCTATCATATGTTTGATCGCCAAAAACCATATCGGGTGGAGTCTGCGACCACGATGACGAGGAAGGATTAAAATTATTGAGATTTAAGCATAAAAGGAAAAAAAATAAAAATTACAACTGCGTTGTACACCTAAGTTGCCACATATGATGACATTTTAAATGTGATATAATAAGATGGTAAAAATAATAATATTATATGTAACTTATTTTATTTTTATTTAACAAACATTTTGCACGAAATAATTAAAATTATTAACGTAAACAAACTTATGAATCAATCCTGTCAAATTTAAATCTCAAAAACTAAAATAAGAAGTTATGATAATCATAAGATTTATTTGGACCGAAAAAGTCAGAATTTTTCTGTTTTGAATTGTTATCTTGTTGTTGCCACCTTTCCAGTATCCGTATATGTACCTCTTTTACATTTTCCTTTCCTTAAAATTTGAAACAGTCCCTCCCTCCTCCAAAGCCGTACATTAGGCAAACCCGCGCATCTCTCTCGCTTCTCCCTCTCTCTCTCTCTCTCTCTCTCTCTCTAAAATTCTCTCCACTCGCTTCTGCCTTCCGGGCTGTGGCTGCCTGTTCTAGTTTTTGGTTAATCCTCTCCGAAATATCATCTGCAAAGGAAAAACCAAACAAAAAAAATAGAACAACCCATTAGCCCCAAACCTCCCAAAACACTCCAAAAACGTTGTCTTTCTGTATTGTTAAATTTCTGATCCTTTTACTTTTTTTTCCTCCAACGAACGACTTTGTCTTTCTTCGATTCTCTAGTGTGTTCAAGGTCAACCTTTTCATCTGTCTCTATAAATTATTCATCTTTTGGGGTCGATTGGGACTTGCATGCGTGAAATTCTTCTGGTGCTTGTCCGTGGGTTTGATTTGTACCTGAAGACTTTGTTTGTTTGAATTTTTTCTATCCAGCTGTGGAAATTGAGTCGTTTTCTTAGAGTTTATTGCCATTCTTTTGTTTGATTAATTTTTTGGAAAAAAAAAAAAAGAGTGTTTGGTGACGAGGTACTTCGGATTTTGAAGATTGTTTTGTTTGTTTTAATTTATGTGGAATATAAAAGAAAGGGAGCTGGTGTTGATTTTTCTCATTGGTGCATAGTTACCAACATTGGAGGCAATTGGGTTGTTGTGATTGAGTTTCAACTGGATCAGATATTTCTATTTCGTTTGTTGAATTTAAGGATATCTGTGCCGGGGAAATCGATTTGTTAACCCGAGAAGGCTTTTTGAATTTATCTGTTTTGAGCATTTGTCATTGATGGGATTCATCCAAATCTGGCAAACAAGATGACGGCGAAAAATTTTAAGCTTTGTTGATCATGTCTCTCTAAGACAGCAGTTTAACACAGATTTGTTTCCGGGATTTGCTTGTTTTCTTTTTATTGTTTTTGGTTGTTTCGATTACCGTTTGGCAGTTGGTGTTCCGTGTTTTGGTTGTTCTGCATTGATTGTTAGTAATGGATTCAAGGACAAGTGAGAATGTTGAAGTTGCAGATGTACCAAACATGGTGGATCACCAGAAAGGTAATATGAATTCAAAACTTAGGAGTGCAGGGAGTATGAGTTTCAAAGAGGTGGAACCAAAAATTAATGGCACAGGAAGTATTAGTAGCAAAGAGATGATCTTCCGAGCAGATAAAATCGATTTGAAGAACTTAGATATACAGCTTGAGAAACATTTGAGCCGGGTTTGGTCTAGAAACATTGAGAGTACCAGGCCTAAGGAAGAATGGGAGATTGATTTAGCTAAATTGGAAATAAGATATATTGTAGCTCGAGGGACCTATGGTACCGTATTCAGGGGCACCTATGATGATCAAGATGTTGCAGGTTATCACTAATAATCCATTTCCATTGTAATTTTGATTTGTTCGGTCTCGTAGGATATTGTATTTTGATTTTGATTGCAATTGAGTTGCCAACTTGTTGTTGAATGCATATTCTCTATGTATCTTGGATGTTAATTTGGGATCTCTTCACTAGTTTCATTTTGGATTCGAATATAACGATAATGATGTAATATTAGCATTTGAATAATGGTGTGTTATGTTAAAGGACTAATTTGGAATATATCTCGTTTTTCGGCATAACTGATTGCATGTTCCATGCTCACATTTGAGGCGTGATATGTAAGTGTTATATATTATTCATGGTATCTAGTAGATATTCACCTTATCTGTTCTTGACGTAGTGATGTACTAGAAGGTTGTGATTGAAGACCATTCATAATTCTGATATGACTGCAGCAACTCTCAAATATTATGAATTGAATTTACAGTTTTTGGCTTCTGTTACTGAAAGTACCATTGTATGTATGGTTAATTCTGTACTGATGTTTATCGGATTTTCTTTCTAGATGTGAATATGTGCATAAATCGTGTTGTTTCACTCTGTTTCCACTAAATATTTATCAGTCATATAAGTAGGTGTTGAACCTCGTATCTGTTATCTTGGATGATTCCGACAATGTAAACTTAGGGGTACAACTTCGTATTTGAATGATCTCAACAGGTAATAGTTTATAATGAATGTGTTAATTAGTATAATGTTAGACAAGCCCTTGAATATAGTAGTTCAAAAGAAAAAGAAAACTTGTGGATGCCAGTAAATTAATAATGGATATATTATTTTGGTTATTTAAAAACGGGTAGGATGGAAGAGCTTAATTTGCGTAGAGCTAAATGTCATACTTTTGGGATTTTCTATTCTGGCATGAGAACTTTCTGTATGGTTCTAAAATCTGCAAAGTATTGTGTCTATGAACTATTGATATTGGGATTTGTTTGGTGTTGTCTTTATCTGGAATTCAGTGGAGTTTCAGTCATTTTTCATGGTGGTCTCCTAGCATTATGAATGAATCTTGGCATTTTGACATTATAACAACATGCGATTTAAATTTGGACTAGTAAACTGATGGCAAATAAGAGCAACAAAATTATTTGCCTCTTTGTTTGCATGCATACCAAATTCTAATTGCAACCACATGCTATATATTATAGTGAAGCTGTTGGACTGGGGGGAGGATGGCTATGCCACAGGTGCTGAAACTGCTGCTCTGCGGGCATCATTTCAAAAAGAAGTTGCTGTCTGGCACAAGCTTGACCATCCTAATGTTACCAAAGTACAAACCCGCCTTTCTTTTTATCTTGTATCCAGTTTTGAAATCTGCATTTTAATATTAAAGAAATTGTTGGCTGTGGAGTGATTATTTTCATCTTGTGCTGGTGATCTTGATAGTTATTTTAGTAAATGATTCGGTAAAATAGTAGTGTCCTAGTTCCTTAATGTGGTTCTTTGTTTGTCATAATCCTTTGGGTTTTAACGATACTCCCCTTCCTCCCTCCCTTCTTTTATCACAGTTCATTGGAGCTTCAATGGGAACTTCAGATCTTAAAATTCCTACAAAAGGCTCTTCAAGTGATGGTGTAGATTCACATCCTGCTAGAGCGTGTTGTGTTGTTGTGGAATATCTCGCTGGTGGGACACTAAAGCAATTCTTGATAAGAAACAGGCAAAAGAAACTTGCCTTTAAGGTTGTGATCCAACTTGCTTTGGACCTCTCTAGAGGGTGAGTTCGATTGTTCTCTACATTTCTGTGCTATATACTTTTCTAGTAAAATTCTTATTGATCTGGGTTTTTAACCATTCCCATTGCAGTCTTAGCTATCTGCATTCTCAAAAGATCGTACACCGTGATGTCAAAACAGAGAATATGCTACTTGATACTCGCATAAACCTTAAAATAGCTGATTTTGGTGTTGCTCGTGTTGAAGCTCAAAATCCAAGAGACATGACTGGTGAAACTGGTACCCTTGGATACATGGCTCCAGAGGTATTACTCCTAGTTAATATCTTCATATGTTTTTTTACTCTTAAAAGCTAACTCTTTGTTGTGCTCTATGAACTTGGAATATAAGAACAAAAAGAAAAGAGAAATACGACTAACCTCACTACAACACCAATAATTATGCTTCGTTTTTAAATGCATCTCTTTGTTTGCTAATGCACTTCAAAAATGGATGGAAATAACATGCGGCCTTCATGCATGAGCAAGCATGCGCTCTTCATGTGAGAAAAGCCTAAACCACCTGCCAAAACCTTACCCACATATTTTCTAAAGCGACCAAACTGCCATAAGCCTGTTGTGGGCAAATGCAAAGGTAACCAGGCTCAAGAAAATGGTATGGAGAAAAGCTCTGACATGGTCTTAACATTCGTATTGAAATGTTGGGGATTGCTTGTTGTAGCTCGTATTCACAGCGTTGAAGATAGTATTACAAGGCCACCTTCCTTTTACTTTTGCCCGGAGTAATCACCACTTATTTGTACTCACTCCTACTCCATCACACCTTATGACCCCTTACTCTTAACCCACCAAATTTGCAATTGAAGGCGATGAAGACGGAGACTCAAATGAGGATGTTTTTTTGAACATCCAAACTTGATTACAAAATCAGTCTTTCCCAATCACCTTCCTTGGCATTCTTGCAATGCCCAGGCATCAAGACTCAACAAGTAATACATTGAGGTCGAGTTTGATAACCTTTTATTGAGCACACAAGCAGCACCACTAAGCATTTAAGAACCAGTCATATGACCTTTTCTTGTTATTAAAGATAAGCTTGACTGATTATGTTGAAACAAGCTTTAGACGAAAGAGAAAGAAAGGGAAGGTGAGAGGGTTTAATTGAAGAGTTGTGGATCATAGGATCATAATTGTGGATCTTACTGAAGTCTTTGTTGCTGATGGTACAGATTGAGGAGTCCAGTTCCTTGCCTGGACCAATTCTTGGCACATGAAGGGCCAACCTTTTAAGAAGGGTGTTAGAGAGTTGGATAGAGAGAGAATGCATTATGGCTATGATATCAAGAAAATGGGATGTGTGCTAGTTGAGGGGTATAATGCGAGTTTAGTAAAAAATGGTCTAACTATTAAGTGTAGAATTAGAAGTTATCATTTGAAACAAGCAAGGTTCTAAAAGGCGTCAGTCGGGCAGCGGACATGACCTAGCGCCTAGGCAGTTTTTTAATTTTAATTAAATTTATCATATAACATATAAATAAATGTTTACTTCTACTTAAAAAAAATACATAGGTGTATCAGGATACATAAGTTTTGTATTGGGATACATAAATTATGAAATAGAATGACATATAGATTATAAAGTATTAGAACATATTGAAAACATGGGAACAAGCATATAATGAGTGTTCATCTAAGTATTCAGCAAGTCTCTTACAATTCATTGAAAAAATAAAATGCAAAATGAAAGTTAACTATTTTTTGTCCAAGTGAGAGTCGCGGCCTATGCGGGTTTAGGTAGGCTAGGAGGGCGCTGGGAGGGTCTAGGTGCTTTTTCTTAATTTTCAAACGCCTATAGATTAATAGGGACGGTGGCCAGCCAACGCTAGGCAGACATTTTTAGAACAGTGAGAACGAGCCTAAAGTTTATGGGGCTTAATTGCATTGTGTTCCTCCTTGATGAGGTGAAACTATCATTTGTGCTCTTAGTTGCTAAGAATATGTACATAATTTTTTTTCCCTTTTTTATGTTGGACTTGAAATGAATGTCAATGAACAAAAATGAACTTATAATATTCTTTGCTCGCTTTACATTCTCATTGCATATCTGAACACGCAATTCAGTATAGTAGCTCATGTGGCAGCATGTAGGGTTTTCAGTGGTAAATCATTAAGCTGACAAGATATTTATGTAGGTTCTGGATGGTAAGCCTTATAATAGAAGATGTGATGTCTATAGCTTTGGCATATGCTTATGGGAAATTTATTGCTGCGACATGCCCTACCCAGATCTTAGCTTTGCTGATGTATCATCTGCAGTTGTTCGGCAGGTCAGTTTGTTCTCTAATAGATATATCTCTTTTACCTCATGTAAATACAAGGACATAGAGTTTGCTTTTCTGTTTGTTGGTTTAGTCTGAATGAACTTTGGTTGTCTTGCTAAAGATTTTAATTTTTGTGTCATGTTGATGATTTGACATCTACTTTTTATGGGCGTTTTATCGTGCATATTTTTTGGTTTTGTTATCAGAACCTACGACCAGAAATACCCAAATGCTGTCCAAGTTCTTTGGCAAACATCATGCGCAAGTGCTGGGATGGAAATGCAGATAAACGTCCTGAAATGGGTGAGGTGGTGAAAATGTTGGAAGTAATTGATACAAGCAAAGGAGGCGGAATGATACCTGAAGACCGTTCTCCGGGCTGTTTCTGTTTTGCTCCCACTCGCGGGCCATGAGCTTATTACCCCTTATTTGTACCAGCCACCAAAGGAAATTGATTGGGCTATTTTCTTGCCATAAAGATGATAAAAAGAAGGATGGTAATGTTTTCTCGGATATGCAGTTGCAGATTTTCCTATTAGCGTTGCAAACTTGTTTCTTTATTGAATGAACAAGGTTTATGAACTTTTCATCAATCTCTATTCCAGCTTGTGTTTGTGATGTGGTTCTGTTTTGATATTGGGACGTGCCATATCAAATGGTCCAAGGTGGTCACTGTTGCGAGCTTAAGGTGTTCGTGCATTTGAGAATAAATTGATCGAACTTGGGATCGAACGCGTGCTGTACAAGAAAAAAAAAAAAAGCCGAGGTAATCGTTGCTTAGGAACTAACCAGGATTGACTGGACGGATTATGGAGCTCCTCAAAAGCAAGTTGAACGGCTTATTAAAATGTATTTCGGGTTGGCTTTAAAGGAACTTAAAAAAGTGAGGAAATTTGAGAGATTTCGTTATGTATTTTAATTATTCATAAATTTCACCTTTCCTGTTGAGATCTTGTGAGATTTCACTCAAAACTTACATATAATGTATGTGAATCATTGAAAACTTCATCAAACCTCATAGATTTATAAATCTATTAATCTTCAAAATCTCAAGTAAGTGCATTCTGTTTGTTGATTTACTCCTTAGTTGATTTTATTTTGGTCAAATACTTTCGTAATTGATTGATAAGGAAGATATGTAGAGAATTTTGAAAACTAACCGTTTTATTTATGCAATTAAGACTTTTGGTCTTGTTTTCAAATTTTAAAGTAAGGTGGTTTGTAGCTCAATTAAAAGTATTTGCACGCTTTGACTCGCGAATAAAGACTATTCATCTAGTGTTTTGACGAAAATGCCCTTATTTTCTTCTTCATATCCCGTTCTTTTTTCTGCTTGGAACAATTAAATTACCAAACTACCCATATTGTCCACGTGTTGATCATCATGGATGGCTCTACTTCGAGTACAAACTCCCCAATTCTGCTTTCATTTCAACCTCCTCATCTTCCCTCTCTCAGAAACCTCGACTTCTCCCTCCTCCTCTTTCCCGCCCAAAGCCTCCTTCAAAATCAATCCCTAAACACTATACCTCCTTTGCCACCGGCACCTTCGACGACGGCACTGGCAATCAATTCTTCTCCTTTTCCTACTAGACATAGATATGGTTCGTATGCAAGTAATTTTTTGTGAATTTCTTAACCATTGTCCTAGTTTTTTTTGCAAATTTTAAATACTCTGAATTGCTAAGGGCTTGTTTGGTATCCTATTTAATTTTTTTTTTTTTTATAATTTCTCAAAACATTTCTTTAGAATTTTTTTTTAAAACAATTTTCTTTAAGACTCAAAACTTGTTTGGTTTGCAATTTAAAAATTCTAAATTTTACAACTTAAACTGGACAAAGAGATCCAAAAAGTGGGGGTCTGAGAGAAAAAGAGGATAGAGGAGGAAAGAAAGTAAGAGATAATTGGAGGAAAGAGAAAGAAGTAAGAGGATTGGAGGAGATAGAAAGGAAGAGCGGTGAGAAAAAGAACCGAGAAAATTAAGAGAGCGGATTGGAAGAGAGACAAAAAAGGTTAAAAAAGAGAAAGAGAAGGTGAGAGAGAGAATAAAGGAGACATAGATTTGGAGTGAGAGAGGAGGGAGAGAAAAGAAAGGAGTGAGTTTAAGTTTAAAAACTCTAAAAACTTACTTTTTCTGTTTTTAGAGAATAAACTATATTTTTGAATTAGTCTTGAGTTCAGTTTTTGAAAATAGTCTTACCAAACAAGTTTTTAAAGCCAAAAACTTGAAAATTGTTTTTGAGTTTAAAAAGTTGGATTCAAATAGAGTACCAAACAAGCTCCAAAGGGATTTACCATTTTTTTGTTGTTGGAATTTTCAGAGTTTTGGGTAGTTAGAGGAATAACTTGGTTGCATGACATTTTGAGGTATATAATTTGATTTACTTTTGTTTTAGTTTCTTCAGTTAGATGGTTAATTTACACCAATGCTTTTGTTTCTGAGTGTGCAGTGTGCACTACCTGTCGTTTTGAGACCTTTTGCATTATGAGAAAGAGAAAGAGGCAGTGTTTTTGTTGCTTTACTTTTGTTTTAGTCAGTAGGCTCAGAAGGACGATGTAGGAATACAGCATACACACTCAAAACATGTGTATCTATCTTTTTTCTTTCTCAATTCTACCAAAATATCGTTAAATGCGTAGATACATAAACAGTCCAAAAAATGTATGTACCAAGAGAAGAAATGTTGGATTGTCTGCAAAGCATTGGACCAAAGAGAGGAATATAATGTGTAAGTACGCTTGGCTATTCAAATACGAACTTTTTTACTTGATTGCTAGAATGGGATTTACAATTAACATTAACCGAGTGTTGACTGGACAGCGTATGCAGGTTCAGTTAGACTTAACTCCCTTTCATGAGTAACAGTCTAACCAAGTGCATAGGCGTGGGATGGGAGCACAGCTTTCTCTGTGGAATCATCGCTGCCACCCAACAAATGTAAGTGCTGAGCTTCCGATTACTGTTATTGGAGGGAGGTAAAGCTGCTATTTTTCTCTGCAAAGTGTTGTATTTTTTATTTGGGGTTCCATTTTTTTGTGTTTTTTTTTCTCTCTGTTGGGAATATTGGTATTATTGCTAGTTGTTGAATTGGAGTATTGGTAGCTTGAATTTTGCTTCAAATTGTAGTAATTGTCGTTCAAGTTTACATTTTCGTGTGAAATTGGAGAGAGTTTCGATTTTGGATGAGAGTTTAGAATATTTATGAGTGGGTTGTGTTGTGGGGTCTCCATGCTAGCAACTTATCCTACTCTACACTTTCAAAAATTGCAGGGTGGATTCTCTACTCTTGATTTCAAAGCCACAACAGTAGAAAGTATCTAGGAACACAGAAGAAATTTATCCTCTCAAACACAAAGTAAATTGGCAAGCTACACGGCAAGCAAATTACCATAAAACCGCAAAAAGTAAGCGCAAATCCAGCACAAATTCCACATGAAATTGGATGCTCTAATCAACATATCAGATTACAATCGGAAACAATCACTTCCACCACCACCGAAAACATGAGATTACAGGTTTTTGGAACTTGATGTGATTCATATATATGTGAGTAGGTGGAAGAGTTGAGGAAAAGAAAATGAAAATTTAGAATTATGTTTAGTGGAGATATTGTGTGGTATTATGAAGTAAAGAATGAAACTTGGATACTTATGTGTGTTTGATATCTTTGATAATGTATGGTTAGCGCCAATCTACCTAAAAGGTTTAAATAATACTACAGTAGTCTTGTATAGAAATGGTATTGTCATATGTGATTTTTGTGGCTAAAATTGTGGAAAGGGAAATCCCATTTGTTGATCAACAAACTTTTGTTCATTAAACGAATAATGAGAACATGTTTTGTTTGCATGATGAACCTAGACTCACTCCATGACAATTTGTTTTGTAATGGATCATGAGGAGGATCCTCACTTCACTTGTCTCCTGCAGGCTGCAGTATTGCTTTCTTGATTCCTGTAGGTACTGGTGGAAGTGGGACTTGGAACCAAATGTCCTTGTAATGCCTAAAGCACAAATGCACAGCTTGAGTCGGTCCGTCGATTCATTGAATTCGGTCACCACAAAAATCGATCTGTTTAGTAAAAACTGGTTCGGTCACGAGTTGAACTGGTTCCCAAATATTGAACAGTTGGTAAATCCGAAACGAACCAAACCTTTTACTTTTGGATCGGACGTTATATGATTTTTTATTTTATTTTATAAAATACCCTTTTATCTTGATAATGTCGGTAATGCCACAAAAACTTGATAACAAGATAATCTCTATCTGATGTGATATGACGTTCTTTAATTTGCCTAATCGATTATTATATGGATTCACCGTAACCTTTTGGGAGTAGTGGTGACACCACTTGCGCCAAGTTAAATCATTGTCATTCTCCATATAATGCAGCCTCTACCGCTCCACCTTCACCTTATCTATTACTTTCACCCATGAAGAATGTGGACGTTAAATGGACTGTATGCATGCATAGAAATTGGAAATAATATGAAATTTTTTTTTTCATGGTCCTTGTGGAGACATGTTATTTTCAATGTCATCCTCATGGTGAAAAAGTTGTTAATTAAACTTCCGTGATGAGGTATGTTAGCAATTGAGGTCTAAACCCAAACTTTTGTTGATATTTCAAAAACAAACTCACGTAACTATTACGTGAAGGGTCAAATTCGTCATTTCAATTTAAATTACATTACTGTACAAATATAATAGTGTAGAAGGCAAACAACTGTAGAAATTGCAGAAAGTTCAACTCCACCGATTGGATTGCCTTCAACGGCATGACCTCTGCAACATCATCTAACTCTACCGAAAACCTTGGCGACCTTCTAGAAGGGCACCAATGAACAAGAAGCAACATCGACAGATAAAAAAGCACCCTACCTTGCAAAAGATATAATGGAGAGGAGGGAGTTGATTTTATTTTGTGAGAAACTAGATTATTTGTCTATTTTGTGGAAGTCTTTTTTTCGGTGACTTTTTGTAATGATGAACCGTATTATATTTTGGAAGACATGCTTTTGTCTTTGTTTTGTTTTTTTTTTTTTTTTGGACATATGCTTTTGTTGTTAGTGTGGAAAACATATTATGTTATGAGAAATGATGAAGTTGGTCTTTCGTTTGGAAAATGGTTGATGTCAGCTTATTTCCCTTTTTCACTTGTTTCAGTTGTCTTCGTGTATTGGAATTAGATGTCAACTTTTTAACTCACAAGAAGAACAAGCTTATGCCATAACTTCATGAATATCAAGCAATACTTAAGTCATACTAGATGTCCATGACATAAGATATAATTTAGATTGAAATGACAAATTTAACACTTCATGTGATAGTCACGCACATTTGTTTAACAATTTGAGTTTGGACCTCAATTGCTAGTAGAGTTCACCATGAGGGTTTAATTAACAACTTTTTCACCACAAGAATGACTTTGAAAGTGGCTTTTCACCACAGAGACTACAAAAAAAAATTGGCCAAATAATATTGTACCTGACCTCTTGAAACTTTTATTTTTAATTATTATAGAAAATTCGAAAAAATGTTTCCCAAATTTGTTTGTGCGCAAAATATAGAGGGAACAATTGACCAAAAATAATAGAGAAATGTTAAGGGAACTATCTTAAAAGTAAGGCTCTCTATAAACTTTATGACATTTCATGTTTTTGTCACACTGTTTTATAATGTTGTTATTATAATTGACATTAAATTATAAGGTGATAAATAATCTATGAAGAGTTAATAAGGGTCACTTTAAGAGAGTGAGTTAATTAACAAAAATATAAGGTCATCTTCAACCGAAGGGTCTAGAGGGTCAGAGGGCCGAAAAATGTCCGAAAACTGTCTCCAACCGAAGGTTAGGCCAGAGGGCTTGTGGGCCCCATGAAATCTGAAAAGGTCAAAAGGCTAACCGGCTGACCACTTTCAGCCAGCCAGCCAGCCCGCCCGCTGGCTAGCCCAATTTCAATTTTTTTTTTTGTTTTTGTTCTTTTACTTAGCCCACCCCCTTTTTTTTTTTCCCCTTTTCCATTGCCAGCCCACTTTGGGGTTTAGGGTTTAGTTTTTTTTTTTTTTTTTAATGGTCCCAGCCCATTTTTTGTTTTTATGCCTAGCAACCATTTTTTTTTTTTTTTTTTGGACTTTTTTTTTTTAAATTTCTAATTTTTTTTTCTACACTATTTCTCACATATTTTTCACTATTCTATATTATCTTACCTCATTTTATTTCAATTCTTCACATTCCATACTATAGCCCTTTGGCACTCGGTTTGAGACGGTTTTTTGTGACAGAGCTAAAATGAGCTCTATGGTCCTTTGACCCTTGGTTGGAGATAGTAAGGAATATGATCATGCACTGTTCATTAAAATATTAATTTCTTGAAGAACCATAAGGCTAAAACGAGCTTTCTGACCAGCCTTTGGTTATAGCCTAAGGTGACAACATTATTAATATTTTTCAAAAATATATTAAGGGAATATGTTAATTAACAAGTGAGTCCGAAATCCCAAATTCAACTTTCAGCTGGTGATTAGACCTTTGAATTTAGTGGACCGCTACTCGTTGTGGATATCAACAACAATTATGGAAAAAAGGGATATCAATTTTTAAAAGAAAGAAGCAAGGAAGTGGCAGTATTATTAATTTGAATAATTCGACAATAACATCACTTTATGTACGTATCAATAAAAATGAGTATATTTATTAATAAGTAAATAATAAATTGATTATCATTTTTTATGTTATTTTCTTTATAAAATTTTGTTTATAAATTTAATTTTTCTAACATTATACATGGTTAGAGTTGTGTGATTTGGTACAAGTTAAAGGGACCATGTGCAAAATCTCACAGTACAAGTAAAGGAATGATGTGCAAAATCACATATCAAAAAAGTACTACAATAATATACAGTTTAAATTTTGTGCTTCATCACCTTCAAAAAAATAAAATAAAAACTAATGAAAAGTGTAAGATCCCACATTATTTAGGGAAGTGGATCATGTAAGCCTTATATGTATATTCTCATCTCTCCCTAGCACGAGGCTTTTTGGGAGCTAACTGGCTTCGGGTTCCATCGGAACTCCGAAGTTAAGCGAGTTCGCGCGAGAGTAATCCCGTGATGGGTGACCCACTAGGAAGTTCTCATGTGAGTTTTCAAAAACAAAACCGTGAGGGCGTGGTCGGGGCCCAAAGCGGACAATATCCTGCTACGGCGGAGTCGAGCCCAGGATGTGGTGGGGGCCCGGGCCTGGATGTATCAATTTGGTATCAGAGCCAATCCCTGGCTGGAAGTGTGCCGACAAGGATGTCGGGCCTCTAAGGGGGGTGGATTGTAAGATCCCACATCGTCCAGGAGAGTGGATCCTGTAAGCCTTATATGTATATTCTCATCTCTCTCTAGCATGAGGCATTTTGGGAGCTCACTGGCTTGGAGTTTCATCAGAACTCCGAAGTTAAGCGAGTTCGCGTGAGAGCAATCTCATGATGGGTGACCCATTGGGAAGTTCTCGTGTGAGTTCCCAAAAACAAAACCGTGAAGGCGTGGTCGGGGCCCAAATTGGACAATATCGTGCTATGGCAGAGTCGAGCCCGAGATGTGGTGGGGGCTTGGGCCGGGATGTGACAAAAAAGGCTTGAAAACTTTGAGTTTTAATGATAAGAACAAAATAAAAGGTAAAGTGAATAGTACTAGAATTGACTTTTTAGTGTAAAAATGTGGTTTTTTATTAAAGTGAACAATACCGCAACTTTTCGTTAAAACTCAAAAAAAAAAAAAAAAATTGTGCTGCATCTATACTCGTTTCCATATATGTCACGTTTATTATGATGTGCAAGATGATATAAATTAATTCCCAGTTTTGAGCTTGATCTGGATTAAGTTGTTTAGTGTTCGTCGAGTTAAATTTTAAAAACTCATAAAAGTAGGATTATTTTGATGGCCAGTTGATTTTTACTCTCTAGTTTTTATATTTTTATGCTTAAGATATGAAAAAATGAGGAGAAATTTTATTTAAACCTATGTAACATATTTCTACACCCAACTTAAATTTTAAATGTTAATTGTTTATTTTACCTTATTGCATAATTACTATTAAGTAAAAAATAAACTTAATAATAAAACTCAAATTTATCAATAAACCCTAACACTATACTTAAACCCTACTATCATTCTTTGTTTATCTTACTTTATTCTGGCTAAAACCCTAATAGTTCTCATAAAGAAAAACAAGTTTTTTTTATGGATGCTGATTATGAAGTTTTGAATCCTCCAACCAATGTATGATTTTGAAGTTTTTTTTAGACAAGCAGATTGATTTATTTCAATTTACAACTGCACACGATTGAAATACTTACGCAACTTTTCCCCAGAGCTTTTATCCTCTTTCCTCGTGCAATTTATATCCTAGTTTGTTCTTCGGTACCATGCCAATTAGGCCTCCGCCCAAAAACATATAACATTTCTTACCTTTATAAATTGCACAGGGTAAACAAATCCTTCCGAGAGTACCATCAGACATTGAGCAAGGGCTTCCTATGAGAATAATATTAGATTCAACATATACTCTTCAGATTACCATGGAACCTAATCAGATGATTCGCTTTCAAGACACAATGCATAACCTATATTCACCTATAAATCAAGCAAGGAGAGGAAATATATAATGATGTTAAGAAGAAAACTTTTGCGGAAGCCATTGAAGGGGTCAATTATAAGAGTTTGATGTCTGTGCAGGATTCGTCTAAGAATCATGCCTGGAGAAGATTTCAAAATATTGTCAACATCTATAGAAATGTCAGTCTTGTTGTCAGCCATGACTGAATTCACATCCTAATTCTCAGTGTCCATTTCCAGACGGCGTAGAGATAGAGTTAAAAATCAAATGGGTGTAAAAATAAATCCATATATTGAATTGGGTTTATGGGGGTATTTTAGGTATTAAATTGGGTTTAAAGAGATATTAATAGTTTAGTTAAAAATCAAATGGGTGCAAAGACTAAGTTGGATGTAGAAATATGTTACATGAGTTTAAATAAAGAAGATTGGAGGAATCATTGTGGAGAGATGTAGAAAAAATATATAAAAGTAGCTAAAAACTAAAACCAAAATCAAAAGGTATTCAGATTTTGTTTTCACCCATTGTTCTTTCATACCATAAAAGTGAAAACTAAAATCTAAAAAATCACAAACCATATACCAAAGACCAAAACCCGTGGTTATCAAACCGACATGCATCTTGATTCTAATTTTTTTCTTCTTCAAAAGAATGTAAACGTTATCAAACAAGTTTAAACGGAAAATAGTGAACAAATAAGTTTTTTATTTTTTATTTTTTTATTTTTTATTTTGTCAAACGATAGATTTTGTGAGATTAGAGGTTAGATTAGTTACCGACGGGGTTCGAACCCATACCATTAGTAAAGACTCAAAACATTTCCACCACTGTGATAAGGACCACTTGCTAGACGAATAAGTTTTGGTTTTCTGTCTAAATAAAAACCAAAACTAGAAAATTAAAATTAAAAGGTAAAAATTGAAATGATTATCAAAGAAGAAGAAATATTTGAGAAATGTCAAGTATCGAATGGCCTAGAGCCTAGAAAACTTGTTCAGTTCAATCACATTCATACAAGACCCCATTATGGATCACAACTTTCATGCGCTCCAATGAAACACAATTACTTGCACATTAGATATTTGTTTGGTATAAATTTCAGACAGGAACCACATACGTGGTGTTAGTGCGTGCTTTATTCATATGAAATTTCAACACGAAATGTGACTTTGATGAGTTGGTGATAAGAACAAATGTTAACTTGCTTAGTTTTTGGGTTGTCCTTTAGTGACCCCCATACGTTTGGCCATATAGTGCCTATTCCTTATTTTGGGGAAATATCACAATGTATGGTTTACCAAAAAAGAAAAATACCACAACGTACGTTAGAGTTGATTAATTAGTGTGTTAATTGGACTATGTCTGGATTTAATTATTTTTTGGTGTAAATATATCGTTATATATAAAAAAAATCATATATTACAAAATGTTCTTTGCTTGATTCATGTAAAGCGAGAATTTATGCCTTTGTTGATTACACCTTGTTAGTCCCTCAGCGTAGATTTAAAATAACATATTGTTATTAGAATGCGACTTAAATCATTGAAAATTGGTTTGGCTCAAATCCGACTTTGGAAAATAAGTCTAACAAAACATATATTGCCATCAAAATGCAACTTAAATCCTTCGTAGGCGATTTTGGCTCAAATACGCAGTTGGAACAGTTTAACAAAAAAAAAAAAAAAAACTATTTTTTTCATTGGTATTTTGTTACCAATTTGATAATTATACATGATCTCATTCTTATTTTGTAAATTTTATTGTTTTAATTAAGGCAATCCACTCACATCCCATATTCTCCATTTTCTAGTCTAGCCTTTAGTTTCTATCACGCTATCCTTTTTCCTTTATTATTGGAATACCAGAGAGTCACGGTTGTAAGGTCATATACCCAATAAAATAAAACAATGTAGAGATTAGAACGAATATGGAAAAAAAATTTATACACAAAAAATGTTTTTAAGCAACGTGAAGGGGGTATAATTGTAAATCCACATCATTGTCTTCCCTCTACAAAATGCTTCAACTTGAGGAAGGTGGCCACATCCATTATTCAAGACGCCGCTTCAGTTACAAAAACAGAAAATACACAGAGACCTCCTGCTACCCCTACAACTACAGCACACCTATAGCACTATGGATTTAGGAAGCGAAGAAACGTCGTCGTTCCTGTCTGATTTCCTGGAAAAGTGTGGTGGCTATGCTGTCCTTGACGGCGGTTTTGCTACGGAGCTTGAACGGCATGGAGCTGACCTCAACGACCCTCTTTGGAGCGCCAAATGCCTTATCACTTCCCCACACCTTGTTAGAAGGGTACGTACGGTACTTCATCTGTTATTCGATCGGTTACGCTTGATTGTTATCTTTTTCTTTTATATTTTGCTTTAAAGACTTTCGATTTCCTTTTTTGTTTTGTTTTGACGATTTTCTTTGATTTATTTAATTTAAACTAAACATGTAAATTGTAGTTCATGCGAAAAATAAGTGCGAAATTTTTTTTCAGAGTTTAATTAACACAGAAAAGAAAAAAATTGAAAGAAATGAGAAGAAAATGGTCAAATTCATTTTATATATGCAAAATTCTTTTTCATTGCTTTTTTTTTTTTTTTTTTGTGTACATGTTTTTGGGAGCATAAATGAAGTGAAATGTGTATTGTTGGTGATGTGTGTTTGATATATTTGTTATTTACTAAGAGCAAGAGGATATTTTGGTCTTCTGAATGCAAAATGACATTTTTTAAGATAAGTTAAAGTAATTTCTTGATGCTTAAAAATAATAAAATAGAGATTTAGTAAGTGAACCACATCAGCTTCTGACAGCAACGTGGCGAACCACAAAACATTTCAGCTCATCTTCTGATGAACTCACGCCATGATTTTCAGGACTCCTGCACAACAATGAATAAAAAAAACATTGGTGCATAAGGAAACCTATCAACTTTCTGTCTAAATAACAGTAGAGACATGGGCAGTTGATTAGACGGGTTAGACGGGTACTAAGGCGAATTAGGTGGACATCTAAGGAGTTTAAGACGTTATTCTTTAATTTTTTTAATACTTAGAAGTTAATCGGAACAATGATAAACCGTTTAACGCCACCTAAGCAAAATTTTTTAAAACAGATCGTCATACTTTAATTAATTAGGTTCTTATTCTGGTATGGGAATTTTCAGAACAGCTCATCATACTTTAATTAATTAGGTTCTTATTCTGGTATTATACCTTAATTTTTAGTTTTTAGACCAAAACTTGAGTTTGTGTCATTACACCTTAGTTTATTGATTATGCACCAAAACTTATTCTCGTGTTCTAGCATCATGGTTTTGTCATCATACTTCTCGTGGACTAAAACTTACCTTTAATGAGTTCAACACTCTTCTGTTTCTATATCCCTCGTCATGTAATTGCGTAAGTTTGAGGAATCGTGTCATACTTTGGACAGAGTCTCATATCATCACCGCGTCGTGTTTTAAACTTATACACTTGCTAAATACAACAAAGAAGAAAAATTAAAACATAACCTCAATTGTTTGTTTTCCTCTTTTAACTTGGTTGGGAAAAAAAATATAGGTACACTTGGACTACCTTGATGCCGGTGCAAACATCATACTAACCGCATCTTATCAGGTATTTAATTTTGTTCATCCTTCCCACCACATGATCTCAACGCATATAGGTTGTGTTTTTTTATTTTAGTTTTTTTTTTAAATTAATTAAAGTTTGAGGAGTTATAATTTATGTTTGATACAGGCCACCATTCAGGGCTTTGAGGCCAAAGGTTTCTCTAAGGAAGAAGCCAAAGATTTGCTCAGGAAAAGTGTTGAAATTGCAATTGAGGCGCGTGAAATTTACTATGATAAGTTTCAATCAAGACGTCCAGTTCTGGTTGCAGCATCTATCGGCAGCTATGGCGCTTACTTGGCTGATGGTTCCGAATATAGGTAACTAGTGAACTCATTTTCCACTCATTGACACAAATATATTACTAAGGTGACTAGTGATAACTTTCTGATCAATGGTAAATAATTAGAACTCTGCCTGCAGTTTCTTCATGTACATTGTTTATATGAGCATTACTGATCTTGATTTTAGGTTCATTTTCTTTGGCTTGATTATTCTGTTTTCCTTCGCAGTGGGAACTATGGAGATGCGATAACTGTAGAAACATTGAAGGATTTCCACAGGGAAAGGGTACAGATTCTGGCCAATTCTGGTGCTGATCTGATCGCATTTGAGACGATTCCAAATAAGATAGAAGCAAAGGTAGCTGATATTTCCCTTGAGGCAATCGGACAAATTACTTTTATTTAGTTACAATTCATTGAATCAATTCATATTCTTTAGGCATCATGCCCCATTGCACTCTCATTTGCAATTTGTCCACAATATGTATGTGGATCTGTTGGTATCAGCAGCTCCAGTCTGGATTTTGGCTAAATATTCCTTGCTTAAATGTGATGCAGGCATATGCTGAGCTTCTTGATGAAGAAGGAATAGAAATTCCAGCCTGGTTTTCCTTCGCTTCGAAGGATGGAATCAATGTGGTCAGCGGGGATTCCATGTTAGAATGTGCCTCCATTGCAGATTCATGCAAGAACGTTGTTGCTGTTGGAATCAACTGCACACCTCCTAGATTTATCTACGGACTGGTTTCATCTATTCGGAATGTAAATCTTCGATCAAGTTATGAGTAATTTAAGATACTTAATTAGCCCATAAAACCATCTTATATAATGTTCCTTACCTATCTACCTGGCAGGTTACAAACAAACCAATAGTGATATACCCTAACAGTGGTGAGGCTTATGATGGTCAGACCAAGCAATGGGTGGTGAGTTTCCCTTCTATATATGTTGTTACTTTCCATTTTCTAACACTAACCCTCCTAAAATAAAATTTGTTTGCTTTGCTTTCAAATGGTATTGCATCAAGTAGATGATCATATATATGTCACGTAGGCATCAATACCACCATATGAGGTTACTATTCACAAAAAATACTTATGTTGCTAGATCGTCAATTATCTGCAACATGAGTCACGTTAATTCTTGCTTGAACGCATAGTCCAAATTATAATCTTCCAACATAATCACTTGTCTAACAACATAAGTCTAACAATAGAACATTATGAAAGAGAAACACATGATTTTCAAAATATGAAACCTTAGATCTTAAACTGTTGATCCTTACTCGTTATCCCTCCCAAATAAAATATGTTTTTCTTTTCTTTCAAATTAATGGTATAATTTCTATTAAATTAATTAGCATGCATATGTCATAAATTAGGCAATAAGCATCGATCTAGAGTTGTGTTATGTGGAAAATACTTATGTTGTCAAACTGAATTTGATGCTTGAAGACGTGGCCCAAGTTACAATCTAGGAACATGAGCACGTCGGACAATAGAACATTACGTACCCTACCTTTTACAACATCTACCGGCACCTAAAAACATCCTCGGAGCAAACGTTTGTTAAAAGTTATGAAATCTTGATGCTAAATTAATCCATGGATGTGATATGACAATGTTGATGTCTAAAGTGTTGTTGAAAGATTTTGAATGGAACTTTTCGATTGCAGAAATCGACTGGTGTGGTTGATGAAGAGTTTGCAGACATAGCCATAGACAAGTGGTGTGAGGCTGGGGCTTCTCTATTTGGAGGCTGCTGCAGGACTACTCCAAATACCATCAGAGCCATATCTAAAGCTCTCTCCAACAAGTCTTCTTCCATCGTTAACGATGATGCTTAACCGAGTTCTCAGAAACTGGTGTAAATATTTCTAATCCGCGCTTAGAATAAAAACCTTTGTATCATTTTTCTTTGCTTCTTTTACAACTCCGAGGAAGTAGTAAAAATATCACCATGGCGAGTCCGTTCCAGATAAGTCAATAACAGTGCTTGTTATGGTGAGGTTTTTCCAAAATAACAGTGTTTATTAATTTCAAGGGTAGAATTTTGTGGCACTCTCTCTCTGAGGTTTTGGGTCCGTACTCTGTCGCATTCTTACATGTTCCGGAAATTATTTTATACCGGCGTCGGCTGTGGTTAGTAACTGTTTTAGTTTAAGGAACAAGGAAATCTTGAAAAGAATGATACAATACATCGTAATAAGAGATACAGAAATGTAATATGCACATATTACAACTAAGTTTCTCTATCATGGATCCAATGCAAATCGTAAGTGTCTCTCCCGTGTTGGTGAGAGTCCTCTTTCAGTGAGACCTTTTCCCACCGCTTGTGTGAGGCTGTCCCTTCCTTCTTCCGGCTTTCAGTTCAGCCGGGCGGCCTTGCTCTGGCCAGGGTCGGTGGCAGTCACTTCTTTTTGTTTTTTTCCTTCCTTTCTTTCTATTACTGTCTTTCCCCCGCTCTCCTTTCCGACCTGCATAGTCTTTCCACCCCACACGCCGTTGATCCTGCTCAACTATCTTCTTCAGATCAACTCTTTTCTTTTCTGTATCCCATGTTCTCCCTCCATCTTCACATCCCTCATCCATCCTCTGCCATTCGGTATGCAATCACTTTTGACCGCGATTTTTTGGGGTCCATCGGGAAGGTGTGTAGAGTTTTGGTGTTCACACTGGCTTGGGTGTTCGCACTACCACCTTCTCTCGGCCTATATTTGTTGGCAGTGTTGATTGTGGATATCTCACTGGTTTCTTTGATTTCTTCTACTTGATGGATGCGATCGGAGAGGGATTCTTTGCTGGATGATGGAGTCTTCCTTCCTTCCATCTTTGAGGCGTCGTTTGGTTCGATTTCTGGCGTCCGTTGGGTCGATGGTTCGTGCGGTTCGTGAGGTGTTGCAGCTGCTGTAATAGTAGAAGGCTAGGGTTTTTTTGGTTTGCTTCTGTTTTTGGGCCTAATCTCCTGCTTGAACGTTTGTTGTTACGTTTGGTTGGTACCCTTTTGCTTTGTGTAATTGGTTTGGGCCATTGTTGTGTAATAGTCAAGTTTGTGTTGCAAATATAAGACCGGGAAATTACCGTTCGACACACACGCACGCATGCGAGACGGTATAAATTAAGTCAATTGGATAAGAGCGAAAGACCACTTGTTGTCTCTTTGTGTGAAAAACGCGTCAGGAACAAAGAAATAGCAAACCTTAGAGCAACTCCACCCCTATTCACTTTGCGCCAGCACCCAGCGCATTTATCCACTTAATTGAACAGTAATAGACCCAATGAACAGTAATAGGCCAAAACATCTCCACCCCAAAAAAAATGTGCTGGCACCCAGTCTAAAAAATGCGCTGGCACAAACGATCTCCACCCCTACAAAATGCGCTGGCACCCAGTCCATTTAAAATATTAAATAATTTTTTTTTATAAAATAAAAAAAAATTGTTTTAATTTCGGATAGGATTTTTAACCAATCTCGTTACGCCACGTGTCATTATCCGAACGTACTATTTTTTGAATAGATTTCCGCTAAGATTTTCAACCAATCCCGACAACCCACGTGTCACTTCCTGTTTACAATAATTTAGGCAAGATTTCGATAAGATTTTTAACCAATCTCGTCACGCCACGTGTCATTATCCGAACGTACTATTTTTTGAATAGATTTCCGCTAAGATTTTCAACCAATCACGTAGTGCCACGTGGCATTGTCCAGAACCTCATCTTTTTTTTTTTTCGTCCATATAAACCCTACATCCCTACATCCATCCTCACACTAAACTCAATCCTTTTTTTTAGCTCAGAATTCTTCTTTATCGTTTTCAAATCTTGAGTTCTTACAATGTCTTCTTCAAGGAGAGCGTATAAACAATTGCAAGAGCAGCAGAAAAGGTTGTTGGCACAACAGGAAGAATTGGTCAATCTTGACCAAGGTGGAGGTGGAGATGAGGCCTTCACAATGGAGGAGGATGAAGATAATCACTATAGAAGGCGGAGGGCCTCACATTCCCGCCGTATCATGGAAGCTATGGGTCAGATAGCCAAACCCGGACGTGCGGCAAACATCGATAGAAGAAGGGAAAGACGAGGTAAAGATCTCTTGGAAGATTATTTTATTCCCAACAGCGTTTACCCTCATCATATTTTTAGACGTCGGTTTAGAATGCAACGAAGTTTGTTCGCTAAAATCATGAGTGATGTTTGCAACCATGATCCATATTTTGTGCAAAAAGAGGATGCTTTTCATGTTCTAGGTCTTCTTCCTGAGCAAAAAATTACGGCTGCCTTGCGAATGCTTGCATATGGAGCATCTGCAGATCAAGTGGATGAGATCGCAAGGATGGGAAAAACAACAGTTCTGGAGTCCCTGATGCGGTTTTGCTCTGCAATTGAAGCCCTCTACACCAATGAGTACCTTCGGCAACCCACGACAAGGGACATGCGAAGGCTTCTGAGGAAGGGTGAGATGCGAGGCTTCCCTGGCATGATTGGAAGCATCGACTGCATGCACTGGACATGGAAAAACTGTCCAAGTGCATGGCAAGGAGCTTATGGCGACAGAAAAGGAGCCAAAAGCATCATTCTGAAAGTGGTGGCTTCTTTTGATACATGGATTTGGCATGCTTTTTTTGGTGTTCCAGGAGCTCAGAATGACCTAAACGTCCTTGCCCAATCTCTAGTGTTTGACGAACTGCTACAAGGGCGTGGGCCGAGATGCACATATTGGGTTAATGGTAATAAGTACGAGGGACCATACTACCTTGCAGATGGTATTTACCCAAGGTGGTCAACATTTGTCAAAACAGTGCCACACCCGCAGAGTGAAAAAGAGAAACACTTCGCAAAGTGTCAAGAAGGGTGTAGGAAGGATGTCGAGCGTTGTTTTGGTATCTTGCAAGCTCGTTGGGCCATTGTCAGGGCTGCAGCTAGAATGTTTGATGTCGAGGCTCTTCGATCTATCATGATGACGTGTATTATTCTCCACAACATGATTGTTGAAGACGAGTATGATTATGATGCCGTCGATGAATACGAGTCGGATCCGATGAACAACTCAAGAACACAAATCTACTATGCTCATGACCGGACCGAAGATCCCGTGCAACACGAGCCGTTGGAACGGGATGGACGTTACAATGAATTGATCATTCAACGATACACTTCATTGCAAGAGCCATACTGGCACATAGCCCGCCAGAATGACTTGATTGACCATCAGTGGAGATTGCATGAAGGCGAAGATAATTAAAATAAGGCTTGTGGTTGAAGAATAAAGTGTATTGTTTTTTAAGTAATCTTATTTAGTGTGTTTGCTTTTTTTTTTAAGTTTAAATGGTGAGGTTATGTAATTTTATTTGGTGTTTTAAGTTTAAATGGTGAGGTTATGTAATTTTAAGTTTAAATGGTGTTTTATGTAATTTTATTTGGTGTTTTAAGTTTACATAAGAAATTAAATAAAGTTCTAAAAGTAAATAAGAAATTACATAAGAAATTAAATAAAGTTCTAAAAATAAATAAGAAATTACATAAGAAATTAAATAAAGTTCTAAAAGTAAATAAGAAATTACATAAGAAATTATATAAAGTTCTAAAAATAAATAAGAAATTACATAAGAAATTAAATAAAGTTCTAAAATTAAATAAGAAATTACATAAGAAATTACATAAGAAATTAAATAAAGTTCTAAAAATAAATAAGAAATTACATAAGAAATTAAATAAAGTCTGTGGAGTTAGGATATGTGGTGCTAGGATCTTGGTTGCTAGGATTTTTGTAGCTGGAACCCCCTTGACTTGTTTCGGCATCTCTTGCACGCCTCATTCGCACGACATCTCTTTTTTCTGAAGTCCAAAAATATTTTGAATTCGGAGACAGTCCTACTAGAGACTTGTTCATAGTGTCACGATCTGTTTGAGCCATCCTTTCTTCTCTAAGCATCTCATTCTCTCGATGAAGTGCTTCTCTAATCATCTCGTTCTCTCGATTAACTATTTCTCTTTGTCTCTCAGCCGCCGCATCACGAGCCTCAGTAGCTGCAATAATTGCTGCCAGGGCAGCAGCTTTTTCCTCATCTCTAGTCTTTTCCCATGCCATGTTCAGTTCACCTTGACGAGTAAGTTCCTCCATATATTTAGTGCAGTCATTTTTGGAAGAACTACCTTTTTTCTTTGATGCCTTTTTACCTTGAGGCCTGAGGGACTGACGAGTCGGTTGGGTCTCTGGCACTTGTTCAAGCATCCCTTCCGTGTCTTCAAATGTGTTGGCTTCTTGTTCGGCTGTGTCTGCTTCTGGCGAACTGTGTAGACCCATACCGTGCATGACAACCTCTGGACCGGTTGCCACAATTTTGTATCTAGGGCAATCTTTGACAATTTGCCAACATTCCCATTTGTTGAATGATTTGTTATGGTTCTTTGCATTATAGAATGCTTGTGCTTGTAGTGTCTATAAAAATTACATAAAAATTACATAAGAATTGTGGAATGCATAAAAATTATATAAAAATTACATAAGTATTGTGGAATGCATATTACATAAAAATTACATAAATAATTAAATAAATTAAAATATTGATGTGGGTGGAATGCATATAAATAAATAAAAATATTGTTACCTCATCCGCTAAACTTGTCCCACTACGCAAATTACCAGAAGCATGAGAGAGGGCGTTTTTCCAACAAGTAAAGGATGCGTTGAGTTTTTTCCAACGACCTTGAAGACCTTGACTAGATCTGGTATCTTTTCCATGTACATCTCTTCCATGTACATCGTTGAACGATTTCGTAATTTTACTCCACATTTCTCGCTTATCCATCTCATTACCCGTAATCGGGTCATGAGTAGTGCGAACCCAACATTCACACAACGTAACATCTTCACTCAGCTTCCACGAAGTCATTTTTTTCTCTCAAAGTGTACAAAATATTCAAATGTAGAAAGTGTAGAAAGTGTAGAAAATATTGAAATGTGGTGTAAGGTGGAAGATGAGGGTTAGGTATTTATAGAAAAAAAAAATTAATTTTTTAAAATTTTTTCTGTATTTTTTTAAAATTTTTGACATTTTTTAATTAATTTTTAATAAATTTTAATGTTGTAATTAATCGGGACCGTTGGATTTGAAAAATAATCAAATCCAACAGCACTCATTACGCCACGTGGCCAACGGTCAAATTTCTGACCGTTGGGCCTTTTTTTTTTTTTTTTTTAAATTTTTGGTGAAATAAACGTGGACCGTTGATCTGTGATCGGACGGTCCAATTTAAAATTTAAATTTAAATTTTTTTTACCGTTGGAAATCCAACGGCCTAAAAAACTAGCCGTTGGAAATCCAACGGCTTTGAGGAGGCTACGTATCCTTCACCCCGGAAGACTGCAAATGGGCCTGCACGCGGGCCCCAGCGCCTGCACAGCCTGTCGGCTACGCGCCCCGGGCACCGCGTGTGTTGCACGCGCCAGAAACAGACCGGGGAATGGGTCTGTCCATTTTGGGCTGGGCTGTTGACTGGCACGGGCTGGGTGCCAGTCAATTGCACGGGCTGGAGCAGAAAAATGTGGTGCCAGTCCATTTTCTTCACTTGGTGCCAGTCCATTGGGCATGGGCTGGAGTTGCTCTTAAGGATCCTCACGTTTGACTTCACATTTGTATTTGCAGGCAGCAGGAAGCTGCTTCCTACAAGGAGAGAAACTTCCACAGCGCTGCCCGAGCAGGGAGGCTCTCAACCAGTAAGGTCTGGTGAGACCAAAATACCGAGTCTCGTGTTTTTGCGAGAGCTGCATTGTCGGGGTCAACCCCAATAAAGTTTTTCTCAACACGAACAGTTTCAGAAATGAGTACAATTCCCAACTCTCTGGCCGTTTAGTTATCTGGCCCTGCAGACAAACAATATGGCTTGTCTGGCCAATCAAGCAGCTTCTTCCTCTTTTTCTATCTCAAATCCATACACTTATGATGTGTTTCTGAGTTTCAGAGGCGAGGACACGCGCGATAATTTTACAGGTCATTTGAACAGCGCTTTGTGTCAGAAGGGAATCAGTACCTACATAGATGATGGGATCAGAAGAGGAGAAAACATATCAGCATCTCTTCTCAGAGCAATTGAAGATTCAAGGATTTCTATAGTCGTATTCTCTGAAAATTATGCGGAGTCCAAGTGGTGCTTGGATGAACTTGAGAAGATTCTTGAGTGTAAAAAATCAAAACAACAAATGGTTAGGCCAATTTTTTACAAGGTGGATCCGTCAGATGTACGAAACCAACGAGGATCTTATGATGAGGCACTTGCTGAACATGAACGTGAATTCAAGGATGATATTGAGAAGGTGTACAGATGGAGGAAAGCTCTTTCAGAAGCAACAAACTTGTCTGGGTGGCCTTTCTTGGATGGGTACGTTTATTACTAACCACTCCAGTGCCTGATTACTAGCCTTTTTGTATATTTTTGGATATTTCAGTTTTCCCTTTCGGTTTACTGTTTTATTATTTGTTTTACTAAAGAATGTCCTTTTGTTTGTTAAAAACTGAAAAAACTTTCGAATATATTCACCATTCATAAACCAATTTCATTATGGGGTGTGCGAAAATCGTCGCCCAAACATAAAATGGGATATTGTTTTATGGAAAAAATTTCGAACACAATTTTTTGGAGGACAAATTTAGGGACATTTAAAAGGAAGGTAGTAACATCACCAGTGAGGTAAAAAGGAGACAAAAAACGAAGGTTGAGGCCTACTAACACAATGAGACTGCGTCAAGTGGTCGACTAATTTTGGGGTAAAGTATTGTGTTTTTCAATGTGCAACGTTGATATATGAAATATTTTATTTTATTTTTTTTTTTTCAAATTGGCAGGCATGAATCTCAATTTATCCATATGATCGTTGAGGAGATTTCAGGTGAAGTGTTACACCAGACATGTTTGGATGTTGCTACATATCCAGTTGGACTAGAGTCTTGCATACAAGAAGTGGAAAAGTTCTTAGATGTTGGGTGAGAAGGTGTTAGAATGGTAGGGATATGGGGGACTGGTGGAATAGGCAAGACAACAATTGCGAAAGCTGTTTATAATTCAATTGCCTCGAAGTTTGATGGTAGTTGTTTTTTGGCAAATGTTAGAGAAAATTCAATGACATGTGGAGGCGTAGTCCAATTGCAAGAGACTCTTCTAGCTGAAATTCTAAGGGGCAAAGGGTTGAAGGTCTCTAGTGTTGATAGAGGAGTTGAGCTGATAAAGAAGAGGCTGTGCAATAAAAAGGTTCTCTTAATTCTGGATGATGTGGACCAATTGGAACAGTTAAACAAATTAGCTCGAGGGTCCGATTGGTTTGGATCGGGCAGTAGAATTATCATAACAACAAGAGATAAGCATTTGCTGACTGCTCATCAAGTTCATTTTGTATACGAGGTCAAGGTATTAGATGATCAAAAAGCTCTTGAGTTGTTCAGTTGGAATGCATTCAAAACAAGTCAACCCCCAAATGGTTATGTGGAACTCGCTAGATGTGCAGTACACTATGTTCAAGGCCTCCCATTGGCTCTGATAGTTTTGGGTTCTCATTTGTGTGGCAGAAGTGCAGATCAATGGCTAGGGACAATAGATAGTTACAAAAGAGCTTCTAACAAACAGATACATGAAATACTCAAAATAAGTTATTCTGGATTGGAAGATCTTGTGAAAGAAGTTTTCCTTGACATTGCATGTTTCTTCAGAGGTAAAGATGTAGCCTACGTAACAGAAATTTTACAATGTTGTGACCTCAACCCTATGATTGGCATTCAAATACTTGAAGAAAAGGCTCTCATAACCATAGATGGAACTCAGATTCTGATGCATGACTTGCTAGAAGAAATGGGTAAAGAAATAGTTCGCCAAGAATTGCCAAATGAACCTGGAAAGCGTAGCAGATTGTGGTTCCACGAGGATGTTTATCGTGTGCTAACTGAAAATACTGTAAGTATAAATTTATATGTTGTGATATTCAATTCTACAAGCAAGGCCCATAACCGATTATTACTTTCCTGTTATATATATATTTTGAAAAAAACGTACATTTTACTGGATAAAAGTATAACCAGGTTTCTTAACACATTTTTTTTCGTGCAACAGGGAACAAATACAGTCAAAGGAATTATGGTAAAGGTGCCTGAACCATATAATCAGATCTGCTTGAATGCTAAAAGCTTCTCAAAGATGAAAAATCGAGATTCTTTCTGAACTACAATGCACTCTTTTCTGGGGACTTTGATTATCTCTCCAATGAGTTGATGTGGCTTGATTGGCCTGGATGTTCGTTACGGTCTTTGCCATCAAATTTTCATCCAAAGAAACTCTTTGTGCTCGAGATGCCCCGAAGCTGCATAACCCGACTATGGGAGGGATTCAAGGTACTTTGAAGTATTCATCCCCTATTTTTCTCAAACGTTTAGGCTGAAGATTTTTTAAGGTTTATTTGATTTGATCCTTTCCTTTCTCTAACCCTTCTTTTTCTCGTTCTGCAGGCTTTCCCAAATTTGACAACTATGAATTTTGAATCTTGTGAATTCTTAGGGAAAATCCCTGATTTCACCGGAATCATGAACTTAAAGAACTTGATACTGAATAACTGCACAAGTTTAGTTGAGGTTCATCCTTCGATTGGATTCCTTAATAAACTTGTTGTGTTGAGACTTAGGGGCTGCTCTAACCTCGTGATATTTTCGAGAAAAATCAGCTTGAAATCTCTAGAAGTTATTGACCTCAGCAATTGCTTTAGGCTTGAGCATTTTCCAGTAATTGTGGGAAAGATGGAATCCTTAAGACACATGAATCTAGAAGTCACTGCCATAAAGGAGTTACACTCATCAATTGGGTTTCTTATTGGGCTTGAAGAGTTGTATTTATCATACTGTGAGGATCTTACAACTCTGCCATCCAGCATTTATGAGTTGCAAAACCTCAAGGTTTTTGAACTGCGTTGTTGCAAGAGGCTTCAAGAAATTCCAAAGCTTCCACCAAACTTACGTTGGCTGATTGCGAGTGATGGTGAATCATGGGAAGGATTTTCGAAATTTCGTCATTATCTTAAGTTATTGAATACTTTGAATCAGGTATCTCTCTCTCTCTCTCTCTCTCTCTCTCTCTCTTTCTTTCTTTCTCTCTGTGGTAAACAGAGGATTAGATATAATTAACATAGGTAACACTGTTACTACTATGCTGCAGCCAATTTCTGTTGAGGACCATGTAGACCCTGAATATATACATGAATATTATCATCACATTCCTGAAGTTTATGTTATGGAGGAGGTAGGATTGGCTATCTTTGCCGTTTGGGAAGTAATACCAAATGAATCTACTGATTGGCGTTTTGGAGTTACTGTATCCACCAACTATGCTCGGCCAGGTCGTAATTATGAGTTTTCTTCTTGTTCAAGGAAGATAACGTCTCCTCATCTGTGGATCAAGCATATTCCACTAACTGGGATTGGGTTTCGGCAAGCGTGTGCTGTTAAAGTTTACTTCAAGCAAGGCACCCAACCCGCTATGTTGAAAAGCTATAATATTGAAGTATTCCTAGTATCCAATGTGGCAGTTGGCAACAATTATCAGCCAGAACAGGAAGCCTCACTTTTCCTGAAAATCGATAATCCTAACGTCGGACATCATCAAGAACCCTCAGTTGAGTCAGTTATCACAAAACAAGATGATACCAATGTCCATCAAGAACAAGTATATGAGGAATTATTACGAATTACTGACGAATTATTCAGAGCAAGCCTATTGAATTCAAATGTGATAAAACATTTTTTGTTTTGAGGATCTTAATAACCGACATTCTAAAGCTTCAGCTTTACGGTCCATTATTTGTTGTTTTTGGTCACTTACAACCATTAAAGTAGGAAATAGAAGTGTGAAAAACTGTTTGGGCCCAAAATAATATTGTTGGGCCGAGTGTAGATTTATGCTCGGCCCAAAGTTGTGTCAAGATACTATGGGCAGCCTGATGATCCCGGGACATTTAGCAGGGATGGTCAATTCCTATCGCAAGAAGGAGTAGTCTAGATAAACAAAGAGGGTTGAGGAAGTCCTGGTACAATTAGGATTCTCGACCAGCAATGAATAAAGCCCCGAAGGGGGGTGAGTTCGAAGTTCTAATAGGAGTAGGGTTGTTTGAAGCAAAACTGGAACAGGGCAAGGACTCCCAATCCAGATAGGGGTTTAATTCGATCTTAAGGAGCTGGTGCTATAAATACAAGAAGTCATGCAACAATTAAGGACCTTCAATTCAACACACAATTGCCCTGCGCAAAACCTCTCAACATCTTGAGATTTTTATTTTCTTTTCTCTAGCCGACACACCTTTAGTTTGGATAAACAACATTGTGGAGGCAACCGGCGAACACCTTCAATTTGGATAAACAGCACTGTTGCCGTAGAATTAGCCAACCAAGGAGCACCTTCAGTTTGGATAAACAGCACTGCGTCAAGACCAACTGGTTACCTATCCAAGTCTCGGCCGAGAAGGGTTTTCGAATCCTTGTTGGCAGAGGTCACCTTATTAGCCTTCTCGGCGAAGTAAGGTGTTACGAGTTACGTCATTCGGCGTACTGGACGCCGAATGATTTTATGATTGGATACTCACAAGTGAGTTTCAGAGTTCGGCATTTTGACTGCCGAACTACATTCACCATCAAGACATACATCACCTTTGAATACTTGTGTCCGTATAGTCTGGTGTCGATTTGACGTGCTTATACTCTTACGAATATAATTATAGTGACCGAATCGGGCGCCGACGATTTGTGAACTTCGCAGAACTAGCAGCCTTGTCTTCAGGCTTTAGAACCCAAAGACCGAGAGTGTTCCTTCCTCGGTCGCAGTCGCAAGATAAAGAAGTCAACAACGTGCTCAACGCGACATCAACGAATTTTACTCCTCGATCGAGCTCGACCGACTAGTTGGCACGCCCCGCATTTAACCGAAGGATGTAGTTAGCTTATTAGTTACTCGGCCTGCGTGCCACATAGGTTTTGTAATTTTTAGAGTTAACATTTTGGCACGCCTGGTGGGACCTTGTGCTAGACCTTCAGAGTTTATGACCATTGAGACACAGTCCGTAAAAAAGAAAACAGTCATAGGAAAGTCAACAATTGACTTACCAGTGCAAGGCCTTGGGCAGGATTTGCATTAGGCGAAAAATCCGATCATTGTTGCGCCGCCCGAGGCTACAAGTGCAACACGCCGAGATAATGAAATCTGTCTGGGCGGACAATCTCACAACCCAGAAGTTCCTAACCAAACAGCAGGCATTTTCGTTGAAGGAATAATGGAAGATTGTGACGAAGATGGTGGGGAGGGTTCTGATCCGCCAACTAGGTCGTTTCTTCGAAGACGACTTGATGAACAATATCGACAGGTCGAGCAATCGATTGGCCAAAAAATGAATGATTTACTAGACGCAATATGAAGCAACAATGACACACAGACCAGGATGCTTGAACTGTTGGTTAGTAAAGCCTTTGAAGATGGCCAGGTCGGCCAACCTTGGCAGCCTTCTTTTACAAATGTTCCAGTACAAGCCAAGAAAGGGTCTGCTTGGCTACAACCAATTGACTTAGAGAGAAGAGGCGGATCAGGCAATAGAACTAACGGACCAAGCCAATGAGAAGAAGCAGTATCCGTTAATGTGACCGAGGTCCAAAGAATGATCGACTCAGCCCTAAAAAAGGGGCCTAAGTTCCCAAAATTGGATCAGGCAATAGAACTGACGAACCAAGCCAGGGAGAAGAAACAACATCCGTCAATGTGACCGAGGTCCAAAGAATGATTGACTCAGCCCTAAAAAAGGGGCCAAAGTTCCCAAAATTCATCCACCCATACCCAGCTTATGTAAAAAGGTTCGAATACCCGCGAGGCTTCAAAATCCCTGATTTCAGTTTGTTCGTCGGAGAATCGTCCTTATCCTCGTTAGAACACGTGGCCCGGTTCACGGTGCAATGTGGAGACGTCAATAGTGACTTTCATAAACTACGGTTGTTCAACTTTTCACTGACAGGGTCTGCTTTCGCTTGGTACATTAATCTTCCACCAAACTCCGTCCAGAGTTGGGAGGAATTGGTCGAGAAATTTCATGAACAACTCTATCGACCAGGGATGGAAATGTCCGTCTTATCGTTGGCTAGGATGACTTAAGCGTCCGACAAATCCCCAATGGAATACTTAACAAGATTCAAGTCAGCTAGGAATTGGTGCCGAGTACTTCTCCCTGAAGTTGAATTCGTCAGAATTGCACTAAATGGCTTGGACGTGGAATACAAAAAGAAGTTTCTGGGGGTAAATATTCGAGATATGTATGAACTTGCTTAACACATTGAGCAGTATGATTACTTGTTCCGAGAAGAGAAGATATAGAAGTCACCATCCCAAGGAACATTATATAAGAATCCCACGGTTAGCTATGCATTGGCAGAAAGCAAGGACACCCAGTATGCTAGTGTGGATGCGGCCGAGATAGTGATAGATAAACCTTATGTTTGCAAAACATTAGCTCAAGTTAGTCCCAAAGACGCCAAGACCCGCTCGGCCGCCGAAGAGATGAGTAAAACGTCGAAAGTTTACACTTTCGATATCACCAAGGTCGATGCAATTTTCGACCAATTGTTGGTAGCAAAAATCATCAAACTTCGGCCAGGACACAACATCCTTAAGGCCGAAGAATTGAAGGGCAAAACATATTGCAAGTATCATAATTCCAACAAACATGCCACCAATAATTGTGTTGTATTTCGGGATACGATTCAAAATTGGATCGAGAAGGGAAAGCTAAAATTCCCGAAGAAACAGATGGCGGTCGACGTAAATCCCTTCCCCTCAACAACAATTGGTATGGTAGATGCTCATCTCCCTAAAAACAAAGGAAAAGGGAAGGCCGAATACGTCCCGGTGCAGCATGTCCGTAAGCAGAATGGTCAACCAAGATTGAAGATTGATTTATTTTCAAATGCACCACCTATGGAGTCCTCAGGGCCGGCCATCGATGAACCTATGACAGGTTCGAGTTTCTACGAAACTCATGAATCAATGGTTTTATGCGACCATTGTAAAACACCAGTTGAACCCAAAAAGAGGACATCTTCGGCACCAACTTCAGGCCCCCCATCCACGACCTTTACAAAATCGCCAAAGGAACTTAGCAACGGTCCACGACGCCAAGTGTTTAAGAGACTCAGCCCACAGGTACAAACAAAAGACCAGGCCTCAGTCAAGCGGCGTCTTGACTTTGACGCACCATTCTATAATGAAGATTATTACTCATGCAATGCCAGCAGTTTGGGCACGTCAGTCGATCGAAAAACTTTCAAACCACCCAGGCCACGAGACCAACGTTGGTATAGTTACAATTCTCCAACCGGCCTATATACGGCGTTGTCTAAATCTCAAAAACGTCGTCGCCAACAGATAGATTGCATAGCTCGACGACAGGAAGCGCAGGCTAACTTTGCTACCTGATGGCAGCCTAAGAAGGCCGTAGGAAGCATTGACGATCGGCCGACCCCGACTATTATGACCGAATTACTCGAAGGGAAAAAGACAGCTGCTCGTGACTTTGAGACCACCATTGCAGCGTCCGAGAAACACATCAAGCTCATTCTTCGGCCTGGGGAGACGAGAGCTCGTCTCGAGCATTTTAGATAAGAGGCTGAAATGAAACTTTCTCCGCTACCACTGCCAGAACCGTTAGTCAAGGTATGGCGCAATCTGCACCCTCTATTCCTCGGTGAATCCTTGGAGTACATGCTGGAGTTTCATAAGAAATATTCCGTTAATGACTTGTACGGACTACCCAAGGCATGTCAGGAAGCCCTCGATCTAGCATTAACTTGTCTTGATGCCGAGCAAATTATCCAAAAAAGGTTCGACCCAGCAATGAAAGCTAGGTTTCAGCATATACGGGAGGCTCGAGTCCTCGGCTTTGAGGTCGATCCTTACACAGATATCGACACTGTCGAATTACCTTTTTCACTCGAAGATCTTCAGCATTTACGATATCATTTTGAAGTTTTCTCTGCTGTATCTCTTTTCGGCCTTACGGTCGATGAGGAAAACCGGGTGGCGCGTTTAGACGCGTATCTTAACACAAGGAATGCCCGCATCGCCTACAAAGAACGAGCCCGTAACGTACTACACGAACGAAATAAGTCTTCGGCAATAAACGCGTTTGAGGAAGATAACCAGAATAAGATAGATTCGGTCCATACGTCTCAAGAGCAGGTTCATGCCGAGGCACTAAAAAGTCCAATTGAAGACGCTTCAACGACTGATATTATGTTGCCTTCTTTGGAAGACGACGACCACGACCTGATAGGTCCCTCGGTCATCGAACATATGGAGATCAGTATGGTCCATGTCCTACCGGCTGAGTTTCAACCACGACCCATCAGTCAAATTTCTTGGATGGGAACGTAGTTGCCGAAGAAGCGACACAAGTGGATTTCGTCGCTAACGACGACGATGGGGAAGTTCGAAAATACGACAATCTCAAGGCAGCCCTGGCTGAACTATTTCCCCGTTCCCTTTCGGTTAATCTTCAACATCTAAAGTCGTTATACGTCACAGCTCATATTGAAGGATTTCCCATTTCTAAGGTGTTTGTCAACTGTAGAGCTACAATCAACATCATGCCGTTGTTCGTCATGAAAGCACTACACCGTTCTGATGACGAGCTTATCCCGTCAGGGATAATGATGAGCAGCTTCATCGGCGACAAGTCTCAGACCAAATGAATGATCCCGTTGGAAGTCAGCATTGTCGGTCGTCATCACATGACGGCATTCTTTATAATTGACTCCAAAACTGACTATAATGCATTGCTTGGCCGCGATTGGATCCACCAAACCAGTTGCATTCCTTCATCTCTATACCAAGTTCTCATCTTTTGGGACGACAAATTGGTCATAGTGCACCTCGCCGATATTCAGCCATTTGAAACCAACATGATTCAGGCTCGCTATTACGACGATCACATCGGCTTCATCACCCTCCAGGGTTTTAACGAGGATGGACGGTCGACCAGAATTTCGATACAGAAAGCTATCGGGTAGGCGCCAAGACTGTCTAACAGGATTCGGCAAGACTCGGCTTGGCAGATTTAACTACCGATGTCGATGATTGATGCCGCCAAACAAGAAAGGCGTCAGGCTGCGGTTTCGTTGACCATGGAACGTTTGCTGGCCCATTGGTACGCCATTGCCAAACAACCACATTCCGGCATAAACTTAATTGAATTTTTGGCCGAAGCAGATAATGGCCCTATTCTATCTTTCGACAAAGTTCAGGCCGTACCGGCCGAACTCGAAGACAATCGGCCCCAGGTTAAGGACCCATTGGAAGAAATCAATGTTGGCACAGCCGATGATCCTCGACCATTGTTTATCAATGCGTTACTACCACCTCTTATGAAAGTCGAGCTTTGTAAATTGCTTCGTGAGTTTAAAGATTGTTTCGAATGGAATTATCATGAGATGCCAGACCTTGACTGAAATCTCATCGAACATGAGTTACACATCAAGGACGGGTGTAAGCCTTTTTGGCAACCCCCACGCCGGTTCTCGACCAAAGTACAACTTGGCATAAAGGACGAATTAGTTCGGCTTCTAAAAGTCGGGTTTATTCGGACCGCTCAGTACGTCGAATGGTTAGCCAATATCATCCCGGTGTTAAAGAAAAGTGGAGCCCTCTGCATTTGCATCGATTTTCGTAATTTAAATCTGGCCATTCCCAAGGATGAATACACAATGCCAATCTCGGACTTGCTAATTGATGCCGCAGCTAATCATGAATTGCTGTCCTTCATGGATGGCCATACTGGTTACAACCAGATATTTATCGCTGAGGCCGACGTCCACAAGACTGCATTCTGCTGCCCAAGGGCACTCGATACCTACGAATGGGTTGTTATGCCATTCGACCTCAAGAATGACAGCGCCACATACCAACGAGCCATGAATACGATATTTCACGACTTGATCGGTACGATCGTAGAAGTTTATATCGATGATGTGGTGGTGAAATCAAAAAGTCGCCGAACGCACCTAGAAGATCTTCGACAAGCGTTCCTCCGCATGCGTAAGCATAATCTAAAAATGAACCTGGCCAAGTGCGCCTTCGGTGTATCGATCAGTAATTTTTTAGGGTTTTTGGTGCACCATCGCGGCATTGAAGTCGACGAAAATAAAGCTCGCGCAATCATTAGCGCTACACCCCCGACAACCAAGAAGCAGCTCCAATTATTGCTCGGGAAGATCAATTTTCTCCGCCACTTCATCGCTAATTCGGCAGGCAAAATGAAAGCATTCTCTACGCTCCTCAAACTTAAGGATTCCGACAAGTTTGAATGGTGCGAAGAGTATCAAACGACATTTACGTAAATCAAGGTGTCCCTTTCCACACCACTCATACTAGTTCCACCTTGTCGCGGCAAACCTCTCAAACTGTACATTTCGGCAGTCGCTGAGTCCATTGGTTATCTCCTCGCGCAAGATAACGATGTTGGGCGTGAATAAGTTATCTTTTATCTCAGCCGTAATCTGAATTCGCCAGAGATCAACTATTCACTTGTCGAAAAACTTTGCTTAGCTTTGTTTTTTGCCGTCTCCAAACTTTGGCACTACATGCTCCCATCTGTTACGCAGGTCATTGCCCAAACCGATGTGATTCGTTACATGCTCACTCGGCCTATCGTCAAAGGCCGAATTGGGAAATGGACACTAGCTTTATCCGAGTTCAGTCTACGGTACGTACCCCAAAAGGCCGTCAAAGGCCAAGCTCTCGCTGATTTTTTGGCCCGACACCTTTCTCCTTATGGTTTTGGGGGTAGTGACGTCGAAATCGACTTAATCACAACACGCGACAGCCACTGGACTATACATTTTGATGGTTCCAGTACTTCGACCTCGGCTGGTGTTGGTATTGCCATTCAATCACCCGACCACTGCCGCTGGTATTTCTCTCTCAAGTTGGATTTCAGTTGTACAAATAATCAAGCTGAGTATGAAGCTCTTATTATCGGCCTCCACGTCTTACACGATTTACAAGCATCCTGCGTTCTTGTCCTCGATGATTCTGAACTAGTGATTAACCAACTCAACGGTGTGTTTCGTTGCATGAGTTGTACTTTGGCGCCCTATCACATG